ATCAGATATTTACATTATGATTCATAACAGTAGCAAAATTACAGTTACGAAGTAGCAACTAAAATAATATTATGGTTGTGGGGGTCACCACAAACTGAGGAACTCTATTAAGGGGTTGTGAAGGTTGAGAAACACTGCTATAGTGCCTTTGAAGGCATGCTTTCAAGGAAAAGAAAGAGTAAAAATTGAAACCGCTTGGTGGCGGTAAAAATCTATTTGGAAAAAGATAGTACCTGATCTTGGAAGCAAAGCAGGATCAGCCCTGATTAGGACTTCAGTCTAAAACTCCCCATGAATACCAGTCTCTGTAGGTTATATTCCAGAGGAAGAAACTGGAAAACCAACTCTGTGTGTTCCTTGCCTAAGAAAATTTAGATGAGTGGAAGGCATGTACACACACAAATGATAGGAAGAGAATGAGTGGTTTGAGTGTTGGACTCCCATCTCAGCTATAGAAACCCATTGGGTGGTCTTGAATGAGTCACACACTCTCAGCCTTAGGCAAAGATACAGAATGGGGGATGCCTGGCTTGAGAGCAGTACATGTGAAAAAGACCTTGGAGTCCTCGTGGACAACAAGTTAAACATGAGCCAACAATGTGATGCAGCAGCAAAAAAAGCCAATGGGATTTTGGTCCACATAAATAGGACTCTAGTGCAGTGGTTCTCAACCTGTGGGTCCCCAGATGTTTTGGCCTTCAACTACCAAAAATCCTAACATCTGGTAAACTGGCTGGGATTTCTGGGAATTGTAGGCCAAAACGACTGGGGACCCACAGGTTGAGAACCACTGCTATAGTGTCTAGATCCAGAGAAGTCATGCTCCCCATGCTCTCTTCTGCCTTGGTTAGACCACATCTGGAATACTGTGTCCAATTCTGGGCACCAGAATTAAAGAGAAATATTGCCAAGCTGGAATATGTCCAGGGGAGGGTGACTAAAATGATAAAGATTCTGGAGAACAAGCCCTATGAGGAGAAGCTTAAAGAGCTGGGCATGTTTAGCCTGAAGAAGAGACTAAAATTTATTTATTTATGACATTTATATGCCGCCCTTCTCACCCCAAAGGGGACTCAGAGCGACTTACAAGATATATTCTGATACAATATATTATATTATTAGCATGGTACAATATCAGTATTATATATTACTATATTACACTATACCATTATATTGTAATATTATTAGTATTATTGCATGTAATGTAAATATATAATTATAATTATAATATTGTATTATTATTACTAGTATTATATTGAATTACATTATAATATTATAAATATTATATGTATATACAATATACTATATTCCAGTGGTTCTCAACCTGTGGGTCCCCAGGTGTTTTGGCCTACAGCTCCCAGAAATCCCAGCCAGTTTACCAGCTGTTAGAATTTTAGGGAGTTGAAGGCCAAAACATCTGGGGACCCACAGGTTGAGAAACACTGTAATATAGTATATTATTAGTAAATACAACATGGAACTGTCTTCTGCTCCCTTCTGTCTTCACTCTGGCCAGAGCAGAATAATAATAATAATAATAATAATAATAATAATAATAATAATAATAATAATATGATCAAGGGTCTGGAGAACAAGCCTCATGAGGAGCGGCTTAAAGAGCTGGGCATGTTTAGCCTGAAGAAGAGAAGGCTAAGAGGAGACATGATAGCCATGTATAAGTATGTGAGAGGAAGTCATAGGGAGGAGAGAGCAAACTTGTTTTCTGCTGCCCTGGAGACTAGGACGCAGGAACAATGGCTTCAGACTACAAGAAAGAGATTCCATTTGAACATTAGGAAGAACTTCCTGACTGTGAGAGCTGTTCAGCAGTGGGACTCTCTTCCCTAGATTGTGGTGGAGGCTCTTTCTTTGGAAGCTTTTAAACAGAGGCTGGATGGCCATCTGTGGGGGTGCTTTGAATGCAGTTTTCCTAGCGAAACATGTCCAGCTCCTTAAGCCGCTCCTCATAGGGCTTGTTCTCCAGACCCTTGATCATTTGAGTCATCCTCCTCTGGACACATTCCAGCTTGTCAACATTGTGATGCCCAGAATTGGATACAATATTCCAGGTGTGGTCTGACCAAGGCAGAATAGACTTCCCTGGATCTAGGCACTATGCTCCAATTGTTGCAGGCCAAAACCCCATTGGCTTTTTTTGCTGCCGCATCACATTGTTGGCTCAATGTCAGAAGAAGATTTCTCACATTTAGTGAATGCTGCCACGTGATCCAGGATCAAAGGAGTCCAGTAAAGTGAATCAAGAGAAATTCCATTGTTCCCTCTTAAGAGTTGGGAAGATGAAAGGATGAGACCCAACTTAGAAAGTCTTTGAAGCTACCATGTATTTTGAAAGCAGATGATGGTTGCAATGCTACTTCAGAGGAAGAACCGATACACACTGCGGGGGGTATTTATAAATAGAGATTGATAAGATTGTATTAAATAATTCCAAGCCCTTTCATTGAGGAGGATATTATCTAGAAGAGGATCATGAGGAAGGGAAGAATGAGAAGGCCTAAGGGTGTCAACCCAGTCCTCCACCTCTAAAGAAGTTATTTATGCCATACTACCATTGAGCATAATGGAGAGCATAGGGGACACTGGGTCAAAATATGAGCTAATTTCTACATTTATTTTCAAAATGTTTATACCAAGTAAAAATAGAATGATAGAATCCTCGAGTTGGAAGAGACCTCATGGGCCATCCAGTCCAACCCCCTGCCAAATTCCATTCAAAGCAACCCCAATAGATGGCCATCCAGCTTCTGCTTAAAATCCTCCAAAGAAAGAGCCTCCACCACACAAAACGTTTTCAGTTAAATATTATATAAAGAAATAAAAGAGAAATTGCATATATTATTTTTTTTATACTTTTCAATAAAACCAGACCAAAAGTTTAACTATAACTCTACTTGTAGTTTGTGTTGACAGGTCACTCTTTCACCCAATATAACAGTGTTTCTCAACCTTCCGAATGCCGTGACCCCTTAATACAGTTCCTCATGTCGTGGTGACCCCCAACCATAACAATATTCTCATTGCTACTTCATAACTGTAATTTTGCAACTGCAATGAATAGTAATGAATCAACCAAGTGTCAAAGCTATCAGATATGCAATTGAAATGTTCCAAGCTGTCCCATTAACATCCAGATCTGCATGTTCCCACTTTCTCAATCAGGTGTCAAAGCTATCTGATAATCCATATCAGATGCTCTAGCCCTGCTCCATATAGATAGATAGATAGATAGATAGATAGATAGATAGATAGATAGATAATCAGCTGGGGACCCCTTCCTCCAGCACCAACTGCTCCTCTGGGCCAGAGTGAAGAGAGAGGGGGCCAGGAAGACAGTTCCACCTTGTTTCCTGTGCTATTCTAATATAATATATTGTATGTATATATATATATATATATATCGTAAGATATTGTATATACACATAATCTTTGTAATATTATAATGTAATGCAATATAATACTACTACTACTAATAATAATAATATGATATAATTATATATTTATATTACATGTAATATTACTAATAATATTACAATATAATGGTATAGTACAATATAGTAATATTTAATACTGATATTGTACTATGCTAATAATATAATATATTGTATGTGTATATATATCTTGTAAGCCGCTCTGAGTCCCCTTCAGGACAGCATATAAATCTTGTAAATAATATATATATATATATATATAAAAATCTGATAGCTTTGACACTTGGGGGGTGTGTGTGTGTGTGTGTGTGTGTGTGTGTGTGTAAGGGAGCAAGGCTAGAGCAGTGGGGGATCACACCTATCAGGAGGATCTCGCCATCTTCAGCCCAGTGTGAAATCCCCATCCACTTTGGATCTCTAATGGGAGGAGGGTCCTTCATTTCATGCCTTGGCTGTCCTTTGGCCACTTGGCTTTGGAGGGAAGGTGAAAGAGGAGAATGCCTGCGTAGAGGGAGCAGGGTGGTCTAAAGAGGAAGGGTGACAGCTCATTGACATCAAAGGCTGGCCAGATTCCTGGCCCTGAAGGTATATAAAGGTGCCTTCGAGGAGGGAAGAGGCAGGAGACCTTTGGGAGGAGGAGGCTGGGAGGCTGCTGCTGCTACTACTGCTTCTGAGGAAAGAAGGAAGGAAAGAAGGGAGAGAGGGGGGAAGGAAAGAAGGAAGGAAGGAAGGAAGGAAGGAAGGAAGGTAGGAAGAGAAAGGAAGAGGAAAGGAAAAAAAAAGAGGAAGGAAAAGGAAGGAAGAAAGAAGGAAAAGGAAAGAGAGGAAGGAAAGAAGGAAAAAAGAAAGAAGGGAGGGAGGGAAGAAGGAAATAAGGAAGGGAGGGAGAAAAGGAAGAAGGAAGGAAGGGGAAAAGGAAGGAAATAAGAAAGGGGGGAAGGAAAGAAAGAAGGAAGGGAGTGAGGAAAAAAGGAAGGAAGGAAGGAAGGAAGGAGGGAAGGAGGGAAAAAAGAAAGAAAGAAAGGAGGAAAGAAGGAAGGTAGGTAGAGAGGAAGGAAGAAAAGAAGGAAGAAAGGGAGGAACTAAGAAAGAGAGGAAGGAAAGAAGGAAAAAAGAAAGAAGGGAGGGAGGGAAGAAGGAAATAAGGAAGGGAGGGAGAAAAGGAAGAAGGAAGGAAGGGGAAAAGGAAGGAAATAAGAAAGGGGGGAAGGAAAGAAAGAAGGAAGGGAGTGAGGAAAAAAGGAAGGAAGGAAGGAAGGAAGGAGGGAAGGAGGGAAAAAAGAAAGAAAGAAAGGAGGAAAGAAGGAAGGTAGGTAGAGAGGAAGGAAGGAAATAAAGGAAGGAAGGGAGGAAAGAAGGAACGAAAGAAAGAAGGGAAGGAGGAAGGAAATAAGGAAGGGAGGGAGGAAAGAAAGGAGGAAGGAAAGAAGGAAGGAGGGAAGGAAGGAAAGAAAGAAAGAAAGGAGTGAGGGAGGAAAGAAGGAAAGAAAGAAAGAAAGAAGGAAGGAAGGAAATAAGAAAGGGAGGGAGGAAAAAGAAAGGAGAAAGGAAGGAAGGAGGGAAAGAAGGAAGGAAAGAAAGAAAGAAAGAAAGAAGGAAGGAAGGGAGGTAGGGAGAGAGGAAAGGAGGAAAAAAAGCAATATTGAGATCACGACAGGAAAACTAAAAGAGAGTTTTGAGAGCTCGCAAAAAGACGCAGAGGAAGAACCGAATCATTCATATTTAGAAGAAAGGGGGGAAGGAAGGAAGGAGAGAAAGAAAAGATTTAAAGAGGAAGAGAGAGAGAGCAAGGAGGCAAAGAATAGGCTACGGAGAGAAGAAGGGAGGGAAGAAGTACAAGCACACTGAGAAGCGAACAGAGACGGAGGGAGGGAGAGAGAGAGAGATGCGGAGAGGACTTGAAGGCACATAGAGGAGAAGAAAGGTTTTGGACCAGAGGGAAAGGACAGAGGATTAAAGGAAGGAGAAAAGGGGAAGAGCAGAGGACGGAGAAGGCTAAAGAGGGGGTTCATATAGAAGGGAAGGAGAGAGAGTTGAGAAGAGGGTGAAAGAGAAAGGCGTGAAGGCGCAGAGAAGAGGACAGGCAGAGACAGTTTGGGGAGAGGAAGGAGGGGAAGGATGCTCCTTGCTGGCCGGTGTCTGCTCCTCTGGGGCTCCCTGGTGCTGCTCCTGGTCCCCGCCGCCACCCTCCGCGCCCCGGGCTACATGATGCAGCTCTACCGGTCCCTGTCGGGGGGTCAGCCCTGGGCCCTGCCCGCCGCCGAAGCCTCCGCCTGGAAGGAGTCCCACGCCGTCCTCAGCCTGGCAGCCAAAGGTAAGACTCCTCATTTCTCCCCCTCTTTCTCCCCCTACCCATATAGAGAGACACCATCAAAGCCCTCCTAGCAGATGGCCCAAGGCAGCAGCATAGTCCACTGCCGGACAGCTCTTCCCATCAAGAAGTTTGTCCTAAATATTCATCCTAGTCATCTTTCTCTGGACATGTTCCTGCTTGTCCATATCGCCTCCTTGAATTGTGGTACCCAGAACCAGGGTTATTCCAAGCAGAATACAGTGGGATAATAATAATAATAATAATAATAATAATAATAATAATAATAATAATAGACTCTGGCACAAACCAGTCAAGGTGGTCCCAGTGGTGATCGGCACACTGGGTGCAGTACCTCAAGACCTTGGCCTGCACTTAAACACAATCGGTGCTGACAAAATTACCATCTGCAGAAGGCCATCTTACTGGGATCTGCACGCATTATTTGCCGATACAAAGCTCACATGGTCCACGTCTTTCCCATCAAAAGGAAATATGTAATATTTCTATTGAAATAACAATATTTGTTTCTAATCAGATTTTGAACCAAAAGATGGAAGACTCCCTCGGCTTTTCAGTCAGTGGACAATAGGCTTTTGCAAAATAAGAGATGTGGATGTGCTTCTAAAACAGTGCATGCAGATTTCATGCAAATACTTTTCTGATTGCATGTGTGTGGCTATGCGTAAATGATCATTTCACCACTGCTTTTTCAGACCTCTGTCTCGGTTAATTAGATATCCCTAAAAGGATGTAGCTCCCATGTATGATAATAATAATAATAATAATAATAATAATAGTTTTTCCAATTTTCGTGTGTCTTGGAACAGTTTCTCCCCGTAGAGAAATAATACATTGAACATCTCTACGGGGAGAAATAGTAATAATATATTGTTATTATAATATTATAATTATAATATATAATAATAATAATAATAATAATAATAATAATAATAATAATAATATATTGTGCAAAGACTCTGGCACAAACCAGTCAAGGTGGTCCCAGTGGTGATTGGCACACTGGGTGCCGTGCCTCAAGATCTTGGCCTGCACTTAAACACAATCGGCGCTGACAAAATTACCATCTGCAGAAGGCCATCTTACTGGGATCTGCATGCATTGTTCACCGATACATCACACAGTCTTAGACACTTGGGAAGGGTCCGATGTGTGATCAAATACAACAGCCAGCAGAGTGATCTTGTTTGCTGTGGACTCATCTTGTTGTGTCTCTAATAATAATAATAATAATAATAATAATAATAATAATAATAATAATATGTCAGTATAATAATGATAATAATAATAATATAATGATAATCTATACAAATAAAAATGTAATGTTCGTTTGTGGGTTTAACAGAATTCAAAACCACTGGACGAATTGACACCAAATTTGGACACAAGACACCTCTCAGGCCAACAAGTGACCATCACTCATAAAACACTGAAAAACACAACAGAAGAGACTTAAAAAGCCAAAAAATAAAAATTACATTACAGCACATATGCAAAACCACATATATACACATATACACAAATATATGCACACACTTATATACACGCACAAAACACATATACATAGACTGGGCCACAGCAATGCATGGCAGCGATGGCTAGTAGTAATAATAATAATAATAATAATAATAATAATAATAATAATAACATTACTATTATTATTATTATCATTATTATACTGACACAAAAACACAGTATGACACAGCAAATGATGAAATACAGCATACTGTGTTATACTGTGCTTTTGTGTCAGTATGATGATGATGATGATGATGATGATGATGATAACGATGTTATTTATTTCCCACCACCATCACCACCATCTGCCGTCCCTTGACTTAATCATAGAATCATAGAGTTGGAAGAGACCACATGGGCCATCTAGTCCAAACCCCTGTCAAGCAGGAATAGCACAATCAAAGCACCCCTGACAGATGGCCATCCAGCCTCTGTTTAAAAGCCTCCAAAGAAGGAGCCTGCACTACATACTGGGGCAGAGAGTTCCACTCATGAATGGCTCTCACAGTCAGGAAGTTCTTCCTCAAGTTCAGGTGGAATCTCCTTCCTTTCCTGTAGTTTGAAGCCATTGTTCTGCGTCCTAGTCTCCAGGGTACCAGAAAACAAGTTCCCTCCTCCCTATGTCTTCCCCTTATATATTTATCCATGGCCCTCACCATGTTTCCTCTCACTCTTCTCTTCTGCAGGCTAAACATGCCCAGCTCTTTAAGCCGCTCCTCATAGGGCTTGTTCTCTAGACTCTTGATCATTTTGGTCACCCTCCTCTGGACACATTCCAGCTTGTCAACATCTCCCTTCAATTGTGGTGCCCAGAATTGGACACAATATTCCAGGTGTGGTCTAACCAAGGCAGAATAGAGCATGGGGAGCATGACTTCCCTGGATCTAGACACTAGACTCCTATTGATGCAGGCCAAAATCCCATTGGCTTTTTTTTGCCACCAAATGACATTGTTGGATCCTTCTGTTATGAAGGAGAGGCAGGTGCCACCTCTGCACTTAGCCTTTTTTTGAGAGGGGGGGGGGTGCCCTCCTTGACCTTTGGCACTTTCCTAGCTTGTCTTCCCCCCCTTTGCTTTCCCCCAATTCCCCGTGGTCCCCAAGTGAAGAAACCCAGGTCTCCTCCTAGGAAGATGTGGATTGCATCTCCCTGGAGCATAGAGCGGGCGGCAAGAGAGGAAGGGAAGGGACTGGGGCTCCTGGGCAGACGTTTGTCTGAAGCTATAATCCACAAAAGAAGGGACCCAGGGAAGGGAAATAGGGCCGCATCACAGAACAAGGAAGCCAGTAGCTACCCCAAAGAGGGCTCTTAAAAATACAAGCCTAGGCAATAGGAATACAGTGTCTCCATCTATTGTCGAAGGCTTTCATGGCTGGAATCACAGGTTCTTGTGGGTTTTTTCGGGCTATAGGGCCATGTTCTAGAGGCATTTCTCCTGACGTTTCGCCTGCATCTAGGCAGGATGCTTGCCATAGATGCAGGCGAAACGTCAGGAGAATGCCTCTAGAACATGGCCCTATAGCCCGAAAAAACCCCACAAGAACCTAGTGTCTCCATCCTTTCCTATGTCTCTTTCTTCATTCTTTCTCTCCTTCCTTCCTCCTCCTTCCTTCCTTCTTCCTTCTCTTCCCTCTTTCTCTCTCCTTATCTCCATCCTTTCCTATGTCTCTTTCCTTCATTCTTTCTCCTTCCTTCCTTCATTCTTTCCCTTTCCTCCCTCCCTTCCTCCCTTCCTCCCTCCCTTCTTTCCTTCCTTCCTTCTTTCCCTCTCTCCTTTTCTCCATCCTTTCCTATGTCTCTTTCCTTCATTCGTTCTCCTTCTTTCCTTCCTTCTCTCCTTCCTTCCCTCTTTTCCCTTCCTCTTTCTCCTTCCACCCTTCCTTCCTTCTTCTCCTTCCTTCCTTCCTTCCTTCCTTCCTTCCTTCCTTCCTTCCTTCCTTCTTCCTTCTTCCTTCCTTCCTTCTCTCCTTCCCTCTTTCCCTCCTCTCGTTACTTCCTTTCCTTGTTCTTTCCTTCCTTTCTCCTTCCTTCTCTACCTCTTTCTTCTCTTCCTACTCTACCTTCCTATCTTTGCTCCTTCCTTCCCTCTTGCCCTCCCTCCTTCTCTCCATCCTTTCCTATGTCTCTTTCCTTCATTCTTTCTCCTTCCTTCCTTCATTCTTTCCCTTTCCTCCCTCCCTTCCTCCCTTCCTCCCTCCCTTCTTTCCTTCCTTCCTTCTTTCCCTCTCTCCTTTTCTCCATCCTTTCCTATGTCTCTTTCCTTCATTCGTTCTCCTTCTTTCCTTCCTTCCTTCTCTCCCTTCCCTCTTTCCCTCTCTCCTTCTCTCCATCCTTTCCTATGTCTCTTTCCTTCATTCTTTCTCCCTTCCTTCCTTCCTTCCTTCCTTCCTTCCTTCCTTCCTTCCTTCCTTCCTTCCTTCTCTCCTTCCCTCTTTCCCTCTCTCCTTCTCTCCATCCTTTCCTATGTCTCTTTCCTTCATTCTTTCTCCTTCCTTCCTTCCTTCCTTCCTTCCTTCCTTCCTTCCTTCCTTCCCTTCCTTCTTCTCCTCCCTCTTTCCTCTCTCCCTCCCTCCTTCCCTTTTCTCCTTCCTTCCCTTTCTCCTTCCTTCCTTCCTTCCTTCCTTCCTTCCTTCCTTCCTTCCTTCCTTCCTTCCTTTCTTCTCTCCTTCCTTCCCTCCCACTTTCCTTCTCCCCCCTTTTTTCTTTCCTTTTCTCCTTCCTTCATTTCTTCTTTCCCTCCTTTTTTCTTCCTTCCGCACTTTTTCTTTCCCTTCCTTTCTCTCCTTTCTTACTTCTCAACCTCTTTCTTCCCTCTCAAAGCTGGTATGGTCAGCTCTTTCCCTTGCACAGGAGAGGGTAGAATCAGGGGAGTTGTTTCCAGATCCATCATTGTTTGAGTCCATAGTGCTCTCTGAATGTAGGTGAACTACAATTCTTAAACTCAAGGTCAATGCCCACCAAACCCTTCTAGTGTTTTCTGTTGGTCATGGGAGTCCTGTGTGTCACCTTTGGTTCAATTCCATCATTGGTGGAGTTCAGAATGCTCTTTGATGGTAGGTGTACTATAAATCCCAAGAATTACAACTCCCAAATGACAAAATTTAAAAAAATGAGTGAAGGACATACATTGGGTTGTTAGGTGTCTTGTGTCCAAATTTGATGTCAATTCGTCCAGTGGTTTTTGAGTTCTGTTAATCCCACAAACGAACATTAAATTTTTATTTATATAGACTAGCGTATACACCCAACATTTGCATTTTGTTCGTGGCTCTTTCTTTGTTTCTCCCTTTCTGTCTGTCTTTTCATCCTTTCTTTCCACTTTCTTCTTTCTTTCCTTTTTCTTCTTTATTTTTTCCATCTCTGTGCAATGTGTATCTTTGTTCATTGAGTGATTGTTTCCTCTTCTCGATTGCCACTGTAGCGAGGGAAAGAGACTATTTCCTCTTTAAAAACCTCTTTGCTACCTTATACTGATTCAGTTTCTTCTTTTATATTGGCTGAGACTTTCTGTGTACTGTTAAACCTTTGTACTTTATATCACAGGCAATGAAACACTCCTGTGTATAACAAAGTAACAGTTTATTTATAACTTCTGGCTCCAACGCTTGTGGTTACACTTGTTTTTTGTTGCAATCTTGAGGCTTACAGTCAGTATCATTTACTTGGTTAACTTTCCTGAATAAACTATCAATGTTTCACATTCACAAACATGTTACTTGCTTTACACACTCTTTATATTATTATATATTATATTTTGAACTAAGGCTTCTTTATGTTCCTTAAAACTCGAGCTCTATTTAACTAACTGCTTCTCTATATCAGAAGTCTTTAACATATCTTCATAACTGCTTATTTCTATCAGGCACTCAAAAACCAACTCTCCTCTTCACACACAGATTCCTAACTGCCATTTTCAAACTCCCACACTCTAACTGCCTCTTTCGGAACCTTGGCTCCGCCCCTTTGGAATGTTCAGCTCTGCTCTCCCCAACTGTCATTATGGCCTAACAGCCTTTTCAAATCCTGGGCCTACACTAATCTGCATATGACCAATAAGCTTCACATATGCAAATGAATCCTATCTCTGCTGTTGCTACCCTGTCTGTGCCTATTCTTCCCTATCTGCCATATGTAAACATAGAGCTATACACCAAAACTTTAAAATAGAGTAGCAATTTCACTATACCACTTATTCCCTTATTCTGCTTTCCCCCCAGATTCCTTTCAGCTTGGGAACCACTGGGTCTTCTTTTTCGACATGACCTCCATTTCCAGCAGCTCTGATGTGAGGCTGGCTGAGCTCCGGGTCCACTTGCTGTCCTTCTCCCAGGCCAACGATGTCACTGTCAGTATTTACCACAGCCACGACCACTTGTGTCACAGGAACTGGACCTGTAAGGACAAACTCTTCCTTGGTTCTTTCACCAGCAGTCCCTCCACCAGCCATTCCTCCTGGAAAGTCTTCAACGTCACCAACTTGCTCCGCTTCTGGCTCCATCAAGGAATGCCATCAGGGAAGGACACTCTAGAAGTTCTGGAGCAGGAACGGATGGAGGGGAACCTCACTGAGTGCAATGGTGGAAGTGGAGACAGTGACAACATCTGTGGCCGGAATGACTCTAGAACGGCACAGCAGATATTGACTCACAATGTGATGGACAGAGTCCTCCTGGTTGTCTTCTCCAAAGATAAGGAGCTGGCGGAGCCTTCCCAGGCCCCGAGCCTCATCAGGACGGTGGAAATGTCCAAGCACGTCATGTCGGACAACTCTTCCAAGGAAGCCGGGGGTCGCCGTCATCGGCGGAACAGGAACCATTGGCAAAGGATTAAGGGGAGCAACACCCAGGTGTCCAGTTCTGGGGAGGAAAGTCGGCCGCTCTGCAGAAGGGTTGATATGATGGTGGACTTTGAGAAGACTGGCTTTGGAAAATGGATCCTGCACCCCAAGAAGTACAATGCATACCGGTGTGAAGGGGAATGCCCGACGCCCGTAGATGAGACCTTTAAGCCAACAAATCATGCATATATGCAGGTACGTTTATATACATTTATATATATAGTTTTATATAGGCCCACCCGGTGGCACAGTGGGCAACCAGTCAATTATATTACATTTCTAACAGAACAAGCAAACAAACAGACAAAATACAAAATTTGTGAGTTTGGTAGTTGATTAAATGTCCTTTGACAAGTATCTGGCTACTTGGAGTGCCTCTGGTGTTGCCGCAAGAAGGTCCTCTCTTGTGCATGTGGCAGGGCTCAGGTTGCATTGCAGCAGGTGGTCAGTGGTTTGCTTCTCCACACTCGCATGTAGGATTCCACTTTGTAGCCCCATTTTGAAGGTTGGCTCTGCATCTTGTGGTGCAGTCTGTTCAGCGCCTTCCAAGTTGTCCAGTTTCTGTGTGCCCAGGGGGGAGTCTCTCATTTGGTATCAGCCATTGGTTGAAGGTTCTGGGTTTGAGCCTGCCACTTTTGGACTCTCGCTTGCTGAGGTGTTCCAGCGAGTGTCTCTGTAGATCTTAGAAAACTATTTCTAGATTTAAGTCGTTGACGTGCTGGCTGATACCCAAACAGGGATGAGCTGGAGATGTCTCTGCCTTGGTCCTTTCACTATTGGCTGCTACTTCCCGGCGGATGTCAGGTGGTGCAATACCGGCTAAGCAGTGTAATTTCTCCAGTGGTGTAGGGCGCAGGCACCCCGTGATAATGCGACATGTCTCATTAAGAGCCACATCCACTGTTTTAGTGTGGTGAGATGTGTTCCACACTGGGCATGCATACTCAGCAGCAGAGTAGCACAGCGCAAGGGCAGATGTCTTCACTGTATCTGGTTGTGATCCCCAGGTTGTGCCAGTCAGCTTTCGTATGATATCGTTTCTAGCACCCACTTTTTGCTTGATATTCAGGCAGTGCTTCTTGTAGGTAAGAGCACAGTCCAGAGTGGTTAAACCATTGAGCTGCTAAATTTGTTGACTGAAAGGTCGTAGGTTCGAATCCGGGGAGCGGCGTGGGCTTCCGCTGTCAGCCCCAGCTTCTCCCACTCTAGCAGTTCGAAAACATGCAAATGTGAATAGATCAATAGGTGCTGCTCCAGCGGGAAGGTAAGGGCACTCCATGCAGTCATGCTGGCCACATGACCTTGGAGATGTCTATGGACAATGCTGGCTCTTCGGCTTAGAAATGGAGATGAGCACCAATCCCCAGAGTCGGACACGACTGGACTTAATGTCTGACGAAAACCTTTACCTTTACCATCTAGTTTCATGCAAATTGTTTATGTTTATATTGTTTATATTTATATTATTTATACCCCGGAGTGTGGTGGAGGTTCCTTCTTGGGAGGCTTTTAAGCAGAGGCTGGATGGCCATCTGTCAGGGGTGCTTTGAATGCGATTTTCCTGCTTCTTGGCAGGGGGTTGGATTGGATAGACCATAAGGTCTCTTCCAACTCTATGATTCTATATTGTTTTATGTAAATTGACATTGTAACATGTACTTTACTGTATTTTGTGTATTCACTACTACGTGCTTTTGTAAGCCGTCATCTTGAGAGACGGTGGCAGAATATAAAGGTTATTGTTGTTGTTGTTGTTGTTGTTGTTATTATTATTATTTGAAACACAACAAGATGAGTCCACAGCAGACAAAATCACTCTGCTGGTTGTTGTATTGGATCACACGTTGGACACTTCTCAAGTGTCTAGGACTGTGTGATGTATTGGCGAATAATGCGTGCAGATCCCAGTAAGGTGGCCTTTTGCAGCTGGCAGATGGTAATCTTGTCAGCGCCGATTGTATTTAAGTGCAGGCCAAGGTCTTGAGGCACTGCACCCAGTGTGCTGATCACCACTGGGACCCCCTTGACTGGTTTGTGCCAGAGTCTTTGCACAATATAATAATAATAATACGATTATATAATAATATAATAGTATTATAATAATATATTATAATTATATTATAATAACACATTATTATTATTATTATTATTATTATTATTATTATTATTATTATTATATGTGGGAGCTACATCCTTTTGGGGATATCTAATTAACCAAGACAGAGGTCTGAAAAAGCAGAAGTGAAATGGTCATTTACACATAGCCACACACATGCAATCAGAAAAGTATTTGCATGAAATCTGTATGCACTGTTTTAGAAGCACATCCACATCTCTTATTTTGCAAAAGCCTATTGTCCACTGACTGAAAAGTCAAGGGAGTCTTCCATCTTTTAGTTCAAAATCTGATTAGAAATAAATACTTTTATTACAATAGAAATATTACATATTTCCTTATGATGGGAAAGACGTGGATCAGGTGAGCTTTGTATCTCTTCAGGTCTCACTATGTCTACAGGTCTCACTATGGGTGATTAGTATATCTCTATTAGCTTTGTATCTCTTCAGTTTGCTGTCCACAGGTCTCACTATGCATGATTAGAATATCTCTATTGTTAGGGCCGGGCTTTAGCACAGCTGGTAAATCACCAGCAATGATAAAATCTACCAACCAAAAGGTTCCCAGTTTGAAGCCCAGGGGTCGGCATGAGCACCTGACTATCAGCCCAGCTCACTGTTTACCTAAACAGTTCGAAAACAGCTTAGCTGTAAGTAGCGAAATTAGGTACCGCTAAAAAAAGTGGGGGAGATATTTTACCATAAAAGAAAAATGCCTGGTGACCAAAAGGAAGGAGGAAATCCTAATGGCTCGTTATCATAGAGGATGGAGCGACAGCACCCCCTGTGGCTGGATTCGAGCACAACCTCCAAGGTACCCAAAAGCTGGACATCGACACAACATACCTCTTTTCTGTTCTGTCTGTCTCTGTCCTGTCCAATGTTTGCCGTGCATGTGTACATTGATCCGTCCTGAGTCCCCATGGGGGAATAGGGTGGAGTATAAATAAATATAAATATAAATATAAATAAAGTAATAATAATAATAATAATAATAATAATAATAAAAACTTTATTTATATCCCGCCCCTCTCCAAAAGGACTCAAGGCAGCTTATAAAAAAATTGTATTATAACACATACATAAGCAAAAGCAAAAAGACCATCAGTGATAAGGAGGTTAAATTAACATGGTTACCCCAGTTTGATGCCACTTGACAATATCCTGTGGAATCCTAGGATTTTTACTTTGATGAGAAAATTAAAATTCTTTGTTAGAGAGCTCTAGTTCACTTTCCTGAACGATAGCACTTGAACTGCCTAACAGTGAATACTAAGGACCTTTGCAAACTCTAAACCTTAAGTTTGCAAAAGATGGAACCGTGATAATTGGGATGCCATTGTCTCTATCAGATCTGCTCTAACATCATCACCCTAAATACAGGAAAGGGAGGAACTTTCAAAACTGGGCTTTGCTGCATATAATTATCATTTGTCAATATTCTTCATGGTCAAAGTGAGGTGGCCACTTCCAGCACCAGATTGTAAGTGTTATGAAAGGGCAATCAATCATGGATTGTTGACTCTACTATCTTGGTTTTTTTACTGCCAAAGATAAGCAAAGGCGTTGAAGGACTTTCTTGCTCATATACCAAAACAACCTGGTTGAGTTTAACATTATGTGCCTTGACTTCCTTCAGTTGGCAGAAACACTTTGGAGCAGCACTCCCTCTTCTTTAGTCTCCATGGCTGATTTTTTTTTTCATGTCAGGAGCGACTTGAGAAACTGCAAGTCACTTCTGGTGTGAGAGAATTGGCCGTCCGCAAGGACGTTGCCCAGGGGACGCCCGGATGATTTGATGTTTTTATCATCCTTGTGGGAGGCTTCTCTCATGTCCCCGTATGAGGAGCTGGAGCTGATAGAGGGAGCTCATCCACCTCTCCCTGGATTCGAACGTGTGACCTGTCGGTCTTCAGTTCTGCCGGCACAGGGGTTTAACCCACTGCGCCACCAGGGGCTCTCCATGGCTGATGGTGGGATGGGAGTAGGTAGGGAATGATGTGACTATGGGATTCTGGGAATTGTCTGCCACACCTCCAAGGTACACTATGTCAGGATGCAAATACTGACATAGTGTACCTTGGAAGTGTGGCAGACAATAATAATACAATACTTAATAATAATAATAATAATAACAATAATAATAATAATAATAACAGCAACACTTGACATAGTGTACCTTGGAGGTGTGGCAGACAATAATAATACAATACTTATTATTATTATTATTAGAATCATAGAATTGGAAGACACCTCATGGGCCATCCAATCCAACCCCCTGGCAAGAAGCAGGAAAATTGCATACAAAGCACCCCCGACAGATGGCCATCCAGCCTCTGTTTAAAAGCTTCCAAAGAAGGAGCCTCCACCACACTCCAGGGCAGAGAGTTCCACTGCTGAACGGCTCTCACAGTCAGGAAGTTCTTCCTAATGTTCAGATGGAACCCCCTTTCTTGTAGTTTGAAGCCATTGTTCCGTGCTTGCTCACATATGCTTGCTCACATATGTATCCATGGCTATCATGTCTCCTCTCAGCCTTCTCTTCTTCTTCCTCTTCTTCCTCTTCGTCTTCTTCTTCTTCTTCTTCTCATCACCATTACCATTACCATTACTATTACCATTATCATTATTAGAAACACAACAAGATGAGTCCACAGCAGACAAGATCACTCTGCTGGCTGTTGTATTGGATCACACGTCAGACACTTCCCAAGTGTCTAGGACTGTGTGATGTATCGGAGAATAATGCGTGCAGATCCCAGTAAGATGGTCATTTTGTCTCCATCAATTGTGTTTAAGTGCAGGCCAAGGTCTTTAGGCACTGCACCCAGTGTGCCGGACACCACTGGGACCAGCTTGACTGGCCTGTGCCGGAGTCTTTGCAGTTCGATCTTTAAATCCTCATATTATGTCAGTTTTTCCAGTTGTTTCTCTTCAATCCTGCTGTCACCTGGGATTGCAACGTTGACAATCCACACAATCGTGAGGTCAGGAGAATTGTGCTCCAAAACACTGTCAGTCTGAATCTGGAAGTCCCAGAGGAGTTTGGCATGTTCATTCTCTGTAACTTTTTCCGGCTTGTGATTCCATCACTTCTTCATCGCAGGCAGATGGTACTTGTGACACAAGTTCAAATGAATCCTCTGAGCAACAGTGTTGTGCCTCTGCCTGTAGTCTGTCTGCGTGATTTTCTTGCAGCAGCTGAGGATGGGATCTATGGTTTCATCTGCTTCCTTGCAGAATCTACATTTGGGATCTGTTGTCGACTTTTCAATTCTGGCTTTGATGGCATTGGTTCCAATGGCTTGTTCTTGGGCTGCCAGAATCAGAATTATTATTATTATTATTATTATTATTATTATTATTATTGGCAGTAGTATTAGTATTAGTATTATCATTATTATTCATTTAACCTTACCTAATATTGTCGAAGGCTTTCATGGGCAGAATCACTGGTTTGTTTTTTGTTTGTTTGCTTTCCGGGCTGTATGGCCATGTTCCAGAAGCATTCTCTCCTGAAGTTTCACCCACATCTATGGCAGCCATCCTCAGAGGTTGTGAGGTCTCACAACCTTTGAGGATGCTTACCATAGATACAGGCAAAACATCAGGAGAGAGTGCTTCTGAAACATGGTCAAACAACGCAGAAAACACACAACAACACGATAACATAAAGCTTTACACTTCAATGTATTGTCGAAGGCTTTCATGGGCGGAATCACTGGGTTGTTGTAGGTTTTTTTGGGCTATATGGCCATGTTCTAGAGCAGTAGTTCTCAACCTGGGGTCCCCAGATGTTTTTGGCCTACAATTCCCAGAAATCCTAACAGCTGGTAAACTGGCTGGGATTTCTGGGAGTTGTAGGCCAAAAACATCTGGGGACCCAAGGTTGAGAAGCACTGTTCTAGAGGCATTCTCTTCTGATGTTTCGCCTGCATCTATAGCAAGCATCCTCAGAGGTTGTGAGGTCTTTACATTTTCTTCTTTTTCTCTTCACAGAGCTTGCTGAAGTTGTACCATCCCAACCGCGTGCCTTGCCCATCCTGTGTTCCAGTCAAACTAAGCCCACTATCCATGCTTTACTATGAGAAAGGTGGGGTGAACGTCCGTCACCACGAGGACATGATCATCGACGAATGTGGCTGCCATTGACATTTATGGACTTGTTTGGCTGACGAGGGTAAACAACTCAATATTCTGTTTGTGATGGAGGACAACCGCATCGTCCTTCAACATCCACAGGCAGACTTCTTTCCAAGAGGTGGAGATTACACTGTTTTCATGTTTTCCTCCCCAAACTACAAACCCCAAAATTCTGCAGGAGGCGGAAACCAGATTTTAAGTGGATTTTTAATCTAGTGTGATGAGGACCTTGGTCACATAACAGAAGATGGAGTAAAAGAGTGGGACACAACTTCTGAGACTTTGAGCTAACTGAAGTTGTGTTGAGGGACTTTGAGCTTCTATCAAGAGGAGCATCTCAAAAATGTGGTCTCCAGAGCTGGCCTTGGGTTTGAGGGGCTTCTATGTCATTGGAAGGGCCACAAACATGTTGTATCACTGCCATATTAGCTTCTTTACAATGCAATCTTTGGAGAAGAGCCTTTCAGAGTGGGAATCTGTTGTAAGTCCTGATTTAGTTCCCAATAAGCATATATTCAAGGTGGAGAAGGGAAACTTTGGGAAAGTAACTTTTAGACTACAGTTCCTAGAATCCTCCATCTGGCGTACCTTTTAGGATTCAAGGAGCGATAATTTGGGAATCCCTAAGAATCTCCCAGCCAATAGTTATTGGTTGCCGAAAGGCTGAGAAAGGCGGCATAAAATACAGTAAATAAATTAAATAAAATAAATACTGCCAGTGGTTCATGTGGACTGGGAATTCTGATGACTCCAGTCCAAAACATTGAACTTTCCAGGCTGCAAGGGATTGTGTCCTGCATCTTGTTAGTGAGTTTTTGAAGCACATACCAATTTCTTGTTTTAATGTACGTATATACTGAATGATATAATGATCTAAATGCAATTACAGCTCAGCTCCAGTAGGCCTGTTGACTGAATGAGAAGATAGCAAATCAACATTTCTGTAAATGTCACTGATTTGTTGGATCGACTTGTAAATGTAACATCTGGATTTAGGGAAATGTGTTCATGTCATTCCAAGCAGCCAGAGTGGCATTTCTGACAAATCTATATATCTATATCTATATATATAATAAAGAAGAGTGTTTGTATCGGACAGAATTGTGGAGGGAGGGCGGTGTATGTGGCAGCGTTCTGATTGGCTGCCGCTGTGGTGCTATTTGCATATGGTCTCTGATTGGCCAGCTTCAATAGGAGCCCCTGGTGGAGAAGAGGGTTCATGGCAGAAACGGGGCATGACAGAAGGAAATTTGCATATGGTCTCTGATTGGCCAGCCTCAAATCCAACATTCCGAGATGAGAAAGAGAGGAAAGGAAAGGCCGGGGCCTGGGTCAGAACACTCCCAATACAGATCGAAATAGGCACACAGAGCCCCCATCACCCACTCTACATCCTACTGCAGTTTGGAGGACTATGAACCATGGATGATGGGACTTGCAGTACCACCACTCACATTCTGAGACCGCTCTCAACCTTATCCAATGACTGATCAGGACCAAACTTCGCACAGAGACCTCTCATGACCCACTTTACGTCCTGGTGTGGTTTGGCCGGGGATGGACCGTGGATTATGGGACTTGCAGTACCATTGCTTAATTCTTCATACCACTGCAACGCTCATCCAATTACCGATAAAGACCAAACTTGGCACAGAGTCCCCATGACCCACTCTACATCCTGGTGCACTTTTGAGGAGGACAGACCATGGATGATGGGACTTAAAGTACCTCCACTCTCTTCCCAAGACGGCTGCAACCCTCATCTAATGTCTGATCAAGATCAAACTGGGCACACAGAGCCCCCATGACCCACTCTGCATCCTGCTGCAGTTTGAAGGAGGATCGACTTTGGATGATGGGACTTGCAGTACCATCACTCACATTCTGAGACCGCTGTTAAACTCATCCAATGTCTGATCAGGACCAAACTTGGCACATAGACCTCTCATGACCCACTTTACATCCTGGTGTGTGTTTGGCTGGGGATAGACCATGGATTATGGGACTTGCAGTACTTTTGCGCAATTCCTGAGACCACAGCAACGCTCATCCAATTACCGATAAAGACCAAACTTGGCACACTGAGTCTCCATGACGCACTCTACATCCTGGTGCAGTTTGAATGAGGATGCACCATGGACGATGGGACTTGCAATACCTGCACTCCCTTCCTAAGACCATTACAACTGCCAACAATGATGGATCAGGACCACAATTTACACAGAGAGCCCGCATGACCCACTCTACATCCTGGTGCGGTTTGGAAGAATTTGACAATGGATGATGGGACTTGCAGTCACTTCACTCACTTCCTGAGACCACTGAGACCCTCGCCAATGACTAATCAAGACTAAACTTGGCACATGGAGCTCCAATGACCCACACTACATCCTGGTGCAGTTTGGAGGAGGACAGACCATGGATGATGGGACTTCAAGTACCTCCATTCCCTTCCAAAGATTGCTGCAACCCTCTTCTAATGACCAATCAAGACCAAAGTTGGCACACAGAGCCCCCATGATCCACTCTACATTCTGCTGCTCTTTGAAAGAGGATGGACTTTGGATGATGGGACTTGCAGTACCTTCACTCACTTACTGACACCACTGCCACCCTCATCTAATGACTGATACATACCAAACTTGGCACACAGAGCCCCCATGACCCACTCTATATCCTGCTGCTGTTTGTAGGAGGATGGCCCATGGATGATGGGACTTCAAGTACCTTCACTCACTTCCTGAAAATAATGCAGCCGTTATCCAAAGACCAATAAAGACCAAACTTGGCATACAGAACCGCCATTACCCACTTTCTCTAATAACCCGGGCAACGCCGGGTCCCCAAGCTAGTATATAATAAAGAAGAGTGTTTGTATCGGACAGAGGAATTGTGGAGGGCGGGGTATGTGGCAGCGTTCTGATTGGCTGCCGCTGTGGTGCTATTTGCATATGGTCTCTGATTGGCCAGCTTCAATAGGAGCCCCTGGTGGAGAAGAGGGTTCATGGCAGAAACGGGGCATGACAGAAGGAAATTTGCATATGGTCTCTGATTGGCCAGCCTCAAATCCAACATTCCGAGATGAGAAAGAGAGGAAAGGAAAGGCCGGGGGCTGGGTCAGAACACTCCCAATACAGATCGAAATAGGCACACAGAGCCCCCATCACCCACTCGACATCCTACTGCAGTTTGGAGGACTATGAACCATGGATGATGGGACTTGCAGTACCACCACTCACATTCTGAGACCGCTGTTAACCTTATCCAATGACTGATCAGGACCAAACTTCGCACAGAGACCTCTCATGACCCACTTTACGTCCTGGTGTGGTTTGGCCGGGGATGGACCGTGGATTATGGGACTTGCAGTACCACTGCTCAATTCTTCATACCACTGCAACCCTCATCCAATTACCAATAAAGACCAAACTTGGCACACAGAGTCCCCATGACCCACTCTACATCCTGGTGCACTTTTGAGGAGGACAGACCATGGATGATGGGACTTGAAGTACCTCCACTCCCTTCCCAAGATGGCTGCAACCCTCATCTAATGTCTGATCAAGATCAAACTTGGCACACAGAGCCCCCATGACCCACTCTGCATCCTGCTGCAGTTTGAAGGAGGATCGACTTTGGATGATGGGACTTGCAGTACCATCACTCACATTCTGAGACCGCTGTTAAACTCATCCAATGTCTGATCAGGACCAAACTTGGCACATAGACCTCTCATGACCCACTTTACATCCTGGTGTGTGTTTGTCTGGGGATAGACCATGGATTATGGGACTTGCAGTACTTTTGCGCAATTCCTGAGACCACAGCAACGCTCATCCAATTACCGATAAAGACCAAACTTGGCACACTGAGTCTCCATGACGCACTCTACATCCAGGTGCAGTTTGAAGGAGGATGCACCATGGACGATGGGACTTGCAATACCTGCACTCCCTTCCTAAGACCATTACAACTGCCAACAATGCTGGATCAGGAACACAATTTACACAGAGACCCAGCATGACCCACTCTACATCCTGGTGCGGTTTGGAAGAATTTGACAATGGATGATGGGACTTGCAGTCACTTCACTCACTTCCTGAGACGACTGAGACCCTCGCCAATGACTAATCAAGACTAAACTTGGCACATGGAGCTCCAATGACCCACTCTACATCCTGGTGCAGTTTGGAGGAGGACAGACCATGGATGATGGGATTTCAAGTACCTCCATTCCCTTCCAAAGATTGCTGCAATCCTCTTCTAATGACCAATCAAGACCAAACTTGGCACATAAAGCCCCCATGATCCACTCTACATTCTGCTGCTCTTTGAAAGAGGATGGACTTTGGATGATGGGACTTGCAGTACCTTCACTCACTTACTGACACCACTGCCACCCTCATCTAATGACTGATACATACCAAACTTGGCACACAGAGCCCCCATGACCCACTCTATATCCTGCTGCTGTTTGTAGGAGGATGGGCTATGGATGATGGGACTTCAAGTACCTTCACTCACTTCCTGAAAATAATGCAGCCGTTATCCAAAGACCAATAAAGACCAAACTTGCCATACAGAACCGCCATTACCCACTTTCTCTAATAACCCGGGCAACGCCGGGTCCCCAAGCTAGTATATAATAAAGAAGAGTGTTTGTATCGGACAGAGGAATTGTGGAGGGCGGTGTATGTGGCAGCGTTCTGATTGGCTGCCGCTGTGGTGCTATTTGCATATGGTCTCTGATTGGCCACCTTCAATAGGAGCCCCTGGTGGAGAAGAGGGCTCATGGCAGAAACGGGGCATGACAGAAGGAAATTTGCATATGGTCTCTGATTGGCCAGCCTCAAATCCAACATTCCGAGATGAGAAAGAGAGGAAAGGAAAGGCCGGGGCCTGGGTCAGAACACTCCCAATACAGATCGAAATAGGCACACAGAGCCCCCATAACCTACTCGACATCCTACTGCAGTTTGGAGGAGTATGAACCATGGATGATGGGACTTGCAGTACCACCACTCACATTCTGAGACCGCTGTTAACCTTATCCAATGACTGATCAGGACCAAACTTCGCACAGAGACCTCTCATGACCCACTTTACGTCCTGGTGTGGTTTGGCCGGGGATGGACCGTGGATTATGGGACTTGCAGTACCATTGCTTAATACTTCATACCACTGCAACGCTCATCCAATTACCGATAAAGACCAAACTTGGCACACAGAGTCCCCATGACCCACTCTACATCCTGGTGCACTTTTGAGGAGGACAGACCATGGATGATGGGACTTGAAGTACCTCCACTCTCTTCCCAAGACGGCTGCAACCCTCATCTAATGTCTGATCAAGATCAAACTTGGCACACAGAGCCCCCATGACCCACTCTGCATCCTGCTGCAGTTTGAAGGAGGATCGACTTTGGATGATGGGACTTGCAGTACCATCACTCACATTCTGAGACCGCTGTTAAACTCATCCAATGTCTGATCAGGACCAAACTTGGCACATAGACCTCTCATGACCCACTTTACATCCTGGTGTGTGTTTGTCTGGGGATAGACCATGGATTATGGGACTTGCAGTACTTTTGCGCAATTCCTGAGACCACAGCAACGCTCATCCAATTACCGATAAAGACCAAACTTGGCACACTGAGTCTCCATGACGCACTCTACATCCAGGTGCAGTTTGAAGGAGGATGCACCATGGACGATGGGACTTGCAAT